TCTAGATGCACCTGGCCTGAGGAGAGGATGAAGGGTTCTAGTTGGACTGTGTTAAGTTTGAGGTGCCCATGGTGTGAGGTCTGCAGCTCCTGTCTCTTATACACATCTAGATGTGTATAAGAGACAGGTCTTGCCCAAGGTCACACAGCATGTAATGGGCAGGGTCAGAGTCTGGACTTGGGTCTCCTAGCTGCACTGTACTGCTGCTCCACGGGTTAATCAGCTCAGCATCCCGTGGCTGAACAGCGACCTCATACCAAGGCCTGTGGGACCATGACAGGGATTGATAGGGTCCCTGCCTTAGGAACCCGTTGTCTAAGTAGAGGAGACTGACAAGTCAATGCCTTCCATCAGTCTGCTCAACACACATTTACCAAGCGCCTACTGTGTGCTGCAGAGGCGAAGATGACACAGCCCAGGCCTTTCCCTCGAGCTTACAGTTCAGAAGGAGAGACTGATCAGTGACCGCCAGTACAGCTGACTATGGGACAATGTGCTCAGCATTGGGGCGAGACGAAGAAGGTACCCGTATAGCACCAGATGACAGGCACAAGCCCCACAGGCCAGGGCAGCTGCTCAGAGGAGAGTAGGCCAAGCAGAAGCCAAGCAGAAAGCTGCAGGCATTTGCCATCGAGACCTGGGCTTCAAACTGGGCATCATACCAGCCTGGGTTTGAGTTCCACCCAGCTCCTTATTAGTTGTTTAACCCTGGGCAAATGCCTTCACCTCTCTGAGCCTCATTCCCCTATCTGTAAACCAGTTATAATAATGGGAACATTCATTTAAGGACTAAATGAGGTTGTGAAGCATTCAGCAGATGCTAGGTATGGAAACTCGCCAAAGTGGGGGCAGGTTAAGAAGCCTCTGGGGATACCAAGGCATCCAGGGACTAGTTGTGGCAGGAAGCTGTTACCACTTAAGGTCTGAAGGGTAAGGAGAGGGAATAGTTTTCCCTCTGCCCAATTGGAGCTGGTGGCATGGAGGAGAGGCTGCCCGTGGGGAGTCACCTGAGGGTTCACCGCTGCCATGCGCAGGGAGTCAGGAGGTAGGGAGGGAGTGGGGCAGATGCACAGTTTTTGTTTTTGTTTTTGAGATTCTGTTGCCCAGGCTGGAGTGCAGTGGTGCCATGTCAGCTCACTGCAACCTCTGCCTCCCGGGTTCAAGCAATTCTCATGCCTCAGCCTCCTGAGTAGCTGGGACTACAGGTGTGTGCCACCAGGCCCAGCTAATTTTTGTATTTTTAATAGAGATGGAGTTTCACCATGTTGGCCAGGCTGGACTCGAACTCTTGACCTCAGGTGATGCCCCACCTCGGCCTCCCAAAGTGCTGGGATTATAGGCGTGAGCCACCGCGCCCAGCTGCAGATGCACTCTTGTCCCTCTAACTCCTGCTGGTGCCTCCCATTGGCTGAGCCTAAATGGAGGCTTTGCAAGGGAGCTGGTGCTGCAGTTTGCACTGAGCAGGCTGGAGAAGGCTGGGGAATAGACTGGGGGACAAACCGAATCGCCAGTGCTGTTATGTCATGATTTAGGCATGGTGTCCAGGGCCTGAGCTTCACTCCATGTCCATCCTGCCCAGAGCCTTAGCACAGCCTGGCTCCCAGACAAGATGTCAAGTTCAGAATCCTTCCTAAAAGGAATCCCTTGTGCTAGGCCTTGTTGCAGGGATATGGGAGTGCTGGGCTCTCAGCCTGATCAACGAGTGAGAAAACTCAGGCTCCTAGTCTGTCCTCCGGGGCACCAGAAGGGAGTCTGCCGGGACAGGGTGGGAGGCTGCTGGGCTGGGATGTGGGGACAGGAGTGATCAGGTGAGGCCAGGCTGTGGCTGTGTTTGCTGCTGTCCAGATGGCTTAAGCAGAGTCCCCCAACCTCCCTGGCTTCTGCAGGCCCTGAAGTTGCCCCATGTCGACTACATCGAGGAGGACTCCTCTGTCTTTGCCCAGAGCATCCCATGGAACCTGGAGCGAATTACTCCTGCACGGTACCGGGAGGATGAATATCAGACCCCCAGTAAGACCCCCCATCTGTGCGCTGCCCCTTCACACCTGAGCTGAATCCATTTGTTCTGCTCTGGCCTTGCCTCCCTGCCAGTGGTTTCCACTTCTTGGGGGGCTTTGGGACTCAGCACCTCCACTGACCCCTTTTTTTCTGTCCCATCCCCAACCCCTGCAGCCCCCGCTGCCTGCCTTCCTGTTGCTCCACAAATGCAAAAGTCTTGCCTTAAATGATCCTCTTTTCCTCCTTGTCTCTTGTTTTCCTCTTCTCTCCATTTGGAATGGCCCAGCAGGCTGCACTTACCTTGGAAGGAGGGTTCATCTGATGGTGACTCTACCTAGGGCCCCCCCCAGGCCTCTATAACTCCCAGTGCCCTGCAGACTGGACCAGACCCCTTAATGGGACAGACACAACCTGGACTGGGATGCCCCTGCCTAGCTTCCTGTTTTGCTGCTCCCCCTGCCTCCAGCTCTGTTTGGCTTTCTGGATCTCCCTGCATGGCCCACTTTGTGTCTTCCCTCTAGGCCTTTCCTTCCACTGTTCCCTCTGCCTGGTGTGGCCTGACTGTGGGAGGGAGGGAGGAGGAGCAGCCATGGAAAACAGTCTGCATTCTAGCAGGGCCTTGCAGGTGGCAATTCCTTGCAGGTGGCAATTCAGTCGGGGAAGACTCTAGATGCACCTGGCCTGAGGAGAGGATGAAGGGTTCTAGTTGGACTGTGTTAAGTTGGAGGTGCCCATGGTGTGAGGTCTGCAGCTCAGTGCAGAGACGATGCAATGTGGTGGGTCCGTGCAACATGGTGCCAGGACGCAGAGCTTGGGGTGAACTCAGCTTCCACCCCTTACCGGTTCTCGTGGGGTCTTGGGAAGCCACTTCGTTCTATTAGCCTTGTCTTTCTTGTCTGTAAAATGGGCACATAACCCTGTCCCTGTCCTTCTCACAGGTTGCTGTGAGACTCCAGTGAGTTGAAGGGTGTGCAGATGCTTTTGGAAGTGAAAAGTTGGGGGCTTCTGTGTGACTTTGCATACTGTATGACCTTGCATATGTCTGAGTTGCTGCCATTGCAACAGATCAGAGCTGGTGGGCAGCGGGTGGAGATAGGGTTTGTGCGGGGGACATCCTCTGGCAAGGGTGGCAGTAGCAGAAGCGAGGGGCCTGGTTGGTCATGTGTGCTGACCTGACCTGGGCAGCCTGTGGCCAGGGAGAGGACAGCTCCTCTGTAGGAGGAGCCTGTTCCTTTCCAACCAGGCGGGACCTCTTCTGTGGATTCCTGGAGCCCCCTGCACTCCACATTGATGCCTCAGGGACCTCCCAGAGCAGGCTAATATCAGAGACTGAGAGGGACACTGGCAGAGGGTCACAGAGGCCCCAGTCCAGGCAGAAGACCAAGAAGATCTTGCCCCCTAAGTTAGTTTCCTAGCACTGCTGTGACAAACTACCACCCCCTTGTTGGAACAAGTTGATTCTCTGCAGTACTGGAGGCCAGAAGCCTGAATCAGTGTTGGCAGGACCACGTTCTCCCCGGGAGCTCCAGGGAGAAGCTTCTCATGTCTCTTCTGTGTCCCAACAGCGGCAGCACACCCATCCCAGCCTCTGTCTTCACACAGCCTTCTCTGTGTCTCTCTCCTCTTCATTGTCTCATAAGGACACTTGTTGTTGGATTTAGGGCCAACTGGATCATCCAGGATGATCTCATGTGGAGAACCGTAACCACATCTGCAAGGACCCTTTTTCCAAATAAGGTCACAGCCACAGGCGGTGCGGGTTAAGATGTGAGTGTACCCTTTGGCAGCCACCATTCCCTCCTCTCCCTTGGGCCAGAAGCAGACGTGGGGCCCTTTCCTCCCCATAGGATGCCCATGGATTGTCCCCCCCCCCACTTCCCCCAAGTGACTGTGGAAAGTGGCAGGAATGGCAGGCAGGGGTGTGGAACCCCTTCTGGAGTCACATCAAGGGCTTGGCTGGAGGATGTCCTCCTGGAGCTGTTGCGCTGGCATGGGGCAGGCTGACTGGGCCCAGCAGCAGCCTCTTCATTCATGGGGAGGCCACAGGCATGGGCCCTGGAGCTGGCTGCCGCCCTCAAACCCAGACTCTGCACTCTTAACTGTGTGACCCTGCACACATCACTCACCCTCTCTGATCCTCAGGTTCCTAGGTTCCTCTGCAAAAGCGAGGGAATAGTAAACCTCGCTCTGGGGGGCTGTTAGGAGGGTTAAATGAGTTATTGCTGTAGCATGCATTTCTCCGTCAGGTATTGAGTGAGGTGCTGTGATTTTAGCCCTGCATTTTTCTTTTCTTACCATTCAACAATAACGTCTTGAGCACCCACTGTGTGCCAGGCACCGTATTAGGTGCTGGGGATACAAAGGTGAATGAAATGGACGTGGTCTCTTTCCCCAACAGTGTATCCAGAAGATTAATCCATTCCTTAAACAAATGCTAGTCGACACAAATTAGTTCTGGATAGGCTGAGAGCTCTGAAGGAGTGCAGGCAACTGTGAGCCTGTGTATTCGGCAGAAGGATCAGGAAAGGCTTCCTGGAGGAAGCGCTGTTCCAGCCAAGACCCACGGGGGCATTATTAACCAGGCAAAGGGGACAGTGTCCAAGCAGAGGAATGAACATGGACTGAAGCTGTGAGGCAGGAGGGAGTGTAGCCTGTACAGAAGGGACTGAGGCTGGTGAGACCAGCAGGGCCTGGGTGACCTCCAGGGCAGATGTGAAAGGAAGAACTCGGCCACAGTCTAAGCTTCTCAGGCGCATGGCAGGGCTGCCTGGTGAGAGCTAATGAGCTCCCTGCTCTGGAGGTGGGCAAGCAGGACTGAGCTCCCACCTGCCAGAGGCCGCAGCGCTTTCTGTACCAACCCAGAGGCTGGAAGAGGCCACTCCAAGGCCTCTTTGCCCCTGAGAGTGGTGGCTTTTCTTGAGGCCACCTTGCCACGCTGTCACAGGGAACTAGCAGCCTCTGCCTCACCCAGGGGTTTGGAGGATAGAGGGGGACCTAGGAAGGGCCCCAGAGGCCCTGTGTCCTGTCCGAGCTGAACCCCTTTCCAGCCTCTCACTGGAAGGAAGCCCAAGGGGGTTGGTTGATGTTCCTGTGGGGGCTTTGGCTTGTGCTTTCCCTCCAGCTGTGGAGGCCGTGGTGGGGCTGTGGGCCCTGGGTGGGCGTTCCAGGCTTACAGCCTCTCTCCTGGCAGTGTCTTACCAAGAGCTGCCCCTTCGCCAGGCCCGCCTGCCCTCTGCTGGCCATGCTTGCAGCCCCCTGATCCTGTCCCAGCAGGAGAGTGCGCTGGTGTCAGCGGGCAGGAACTGCCTGTATTTAGAAGGTGTGGGGCTGCGCTGGGGCCACACCCCAGGCCCAGGGATGTGACCTCACAGTGGTCACATCATCTTGCAGCGGACCCCAAGTACAGCTCCTGGAGCAGATGGTGGTCCCAAGCGCAGGTGGGACCAGAAAGGATTGTCACCTGGGCTAACTCAGCTGCGGCCTCAGTTCCCTCCTCACACACGACGAGGAGCATGGACTGGAATCCTGCCCAGCAGGCCTTCGGCTTGATGTGCGTTGTGTAGCTTATGTCCAGGTGGGGAAGCAGCTTCTGTGCTGTCTTCTAGATGAGCCTGTATCCCCTGGGCTGTCTGCCAATGTATCCAGTCGTCCCGTCAGCCTGGAAGCTCTGAGGGAGAAGCTTGGGCTCCTTCCTAAGCACCTATATCCCCTGTAGCCAGCTCGGGGCCTCTGCTAGGAGCAGACCGAGCATGGCCTATGGGCCTGGCACCATCTGGCCTCTGCCTACCTTGCTGGCCTTGTCATGTGTCTGCCCCTCCGACATTCCATAGCCCAGTTCAATACTAGTGGTTCCTCTAGGGTGACCAGCACCCTTTGGTCTCCACATGTCTTCAGGTCGGAGCTCACAGCGCTCTCAACTACCCCTTCCCAGTGCAGCACCGGGCACGTGGTAGATGCCTACTGATGAGTGAAAGCTCCTAACACACTCAGAGAGCAAGGACTCTGCCTCATCCCGCAGCCTGGGAGGACAGGCAGACTGCCGAGGACCTGCCCAGCATGCTACAGAAGTAACCGAAGTGCGCATGGGCACTGATCAGTGGAGCGTCCTGCTGAGACTGGAGGCCATAGGGCAGGGCGAGTAGTGTCTGTGCAGGCTGGGGACTCACAGTTCGGACTGGGCCCAGCCCTACTGGCATAGTGGGTGGGTGGGAGGACGTAGGACTGGGAGCTGACCTTGCCTGAAATTAGTGTGGGATCTCAGAACAGCCACTGAATTGCTCTGTAGTGGGCTAAATAGTGGCCCCCACAGACACACACACCCAGACAGAGCCTGTGAGCCGGACCTTATTTGGAGAAAAGGTCCTTGTAGATGTAATTAAGCATCTCAAGATGGCATCATCTGGATTATGCGGTGGGCTGTAAGTCCCGTGATGTGTCTTTATGAGCGAAAGGCGGAGGGAGATTTGAGACACACAGGAGGGGCCACTTGGAGACAGAGGCGGAGATTGGAGAAATGTGACCACAAGCCAGGGAGCATCAGCAGCTACCAGAAGCCGGAAGACGTGAGGCAGGGTTCTCCCTGGAGCCTTCGTTGCTGAGTCTGGGAATTTGTTACCGAAGCCATAAGAAGCGACGACACTCCCTGAGCCTCCCGTACTTGCTCACCTGTCCTGAGATGAGAATCTCTACTCTGCAGCATATTTGGAGGATCACTGCCGGGGACACAGTGGTGCTGTTCAGATGGCACTTCAGAAGACTCAGGAGACCCTGGGGCAGGAGTAGGTTGATTGACATCCCAGAGGGCTACCATCTGGTTCCACCTGAGGCCCTGCTTCTCCTGGCTGCAGGGGTTCCAGGGCCAGGCCATTTCCACTGGCGCAGGACTCTTCTAGCAGCAACCTGCCTGAAGTCTTCCTTTGGCCTGGCTGAGAGTTTCTGAGACTCGCACTGGAGCGGAGGTGCTTCCTTCCTTGCTTCCCTTCTTCCTCCCTCCCCTGTCCGCCCAGTGGGCTGGACCTGCCTTGCATCTGTGAGCTCTCCCTACTTTCTCCTACACCCCAATCTTTGTCCTGCACAGGCAACTCCCTCAGTGAGTCTCTTGCAGCTTTTACCCCAGTGCCGGCTTCTTGGAGAATCCAAACTGATCCAATTAGGTATAGGGTAGGCTCTCGGTGACTGTTTTCTCTGAGGCCGTGACTCGTGTGAGGCGGAAGCAGCCCCTGTGAGCCCTTCTGGTAGCTTGTGGAGTGCAGAATGCTTGCACCTGGAGTCAGGAGGCCCAGACACACATCCTGTCCGAGCTGCAGCTTCCTGTCTCTAAAATGAGCCGACCAGCGCAGGCAGCCAGACATCACTGTTATTCTTTGAGTCTTTAAATCATGTTGTCTTTCTCGCAGACTTGGTGAGCTGTGAAAAGCTATAATAGGGGCTTTATTTTACACTATGATATTATTTCTTGAACATTCATATTATTGTTGGATATTGATATTAATATGAAGGAGCAGCATGACTTGGGTCCTTCCTGGCAGTAGCATTGCCAGCTGATGGCCTTGGACAGTTATCTGCCCCCTCTAGGCCTCCCTTTCCTTGTCTATGAAATATAGAATAGGATCTAGCGTGCGAGGATTTTTTTGGAGGTTCAATGAGTGAATATATTTAAGGTGCTTTCACCAGTGCCTGGCATGTACTCCACAGTTTCTGTGTGTTAACTATAAGGTTGACTTCATGCTCATTCCCTCCTCTCCCACAAATGTCACCTTGGAAAGAAGGAGGCAGCCTGGTGGAGGTGTATCTCCTAGACACCAGCATACAGAGTGACCACCGGGAAATCGAGGGCAGGGTCATGGTCACCGACTTCGAGAGTGTGCCCGAGGAGGACGGGACCCGCTTCCACAGACAAGTAAGCATGGCCCTCTGGTGGGAGGGCTGCCTCTGCCCATATCCCCATCCTGGAGGTGGGTGGGGACTCCCGTCCAAGAGTGTTGCAGCTGTACTGCTGGGCTACAGCCCCCAGCTGTCACTGTCCCCTCCCTGCCATCAGTTGTGGGAAGGGTGTTCATCCATCCAGCCACCTGCTGATTTGTTATGGGGTGGGGGGGTCTTTCTTATGTGGTCCTTGTGTTGGCTGAGCAGGCCAGCAAGTGTGACAGCCATGGCACCCACCTGGCAGGGGTGGTCAGCGGCCGGGATGCCGGCGTGGCCAAGGGCGCTGGCCTGCGTAGCCTGCGCGTGCTCAACTGCCAAGGGAAGGGCACGGTCAGCGGCACCCTCATAGGTGAGTGATGGCCCCAGACAGCGCTGGTCTCTCTCCATCTGGACCTGGCCTGGGAAGTGGCTTGGGCTGGGCCCAGGGAGAGCTAGTCTCCTAACCAAGAATGCTGTGGCAGCCTCTGCTGCAGAGCCAGAGAACCAGAGTGCCAAAGCTGGCAGGGTCCCCAGTGACCACGAGTGCAGATGAAGAAACCCAGGCCCCAAGAGGGTTATGCAGGTAGCCCAAGGAGTGCAGACTTGACCCTGGGTCAGTGACCTTTCCACAATTCCACACTGCTCCCCTTTTCAAATCTGGTGACATCTTTGTGTCTTTTGTGATGTTATCTTCAATGTGGAGGGACTCGAGGTGATCTAAGCAAACTTCTTCTATCTTCTGCTTGCATACTTCTGAGACCAGGGGACTCACTTACTTGCATGACTGGGCCCTGCAGGTCACACTGGCCAGGTAGATATGGTGGAGGAACTGGCAGAGGACTTTTTCTAGACTATGACTATATTTAGTCCATCTGGTAGCTCCCCTGTGAAGTCCAGCTGAGAACTAGGACTCCGGGGGCCTGTGGGCAGAGAAGAGGGAGGGTGCTCTCCCTTACTGACTTCCTCCTGTGGCCATTGAGCAAGGCCTCTGTACAACATGCCCTGGGGCTGGCCTTGCCATAGCTGCTGAACAGTTGATGAAACCAGTCCAGAGAGGGGAGGTGACTGCCCAGGGTCACACAGCTCAAGCTGATGACGTCACTGGGAAAGGTGCCAGCTCTGGGCAGCAGCTTGACTTCCACTGCAGGCCCCAGGCCCCAGGGTCAAACACTGGCTCTGGAGCTAGCGGAAGCAGCCCATGAGTCTGTTTGAAAGGCTGAGGAGGCCCAGGAGTCTTCCCTGTGTCTGCCCTGAGACTTTCCTACAGAGTACAGGTTTTGATGTTCAGTTTTAAAGGCAAGAATCAATAACCTTCGGCCCCATCAGGTGACCCCTTGTGCCTGTCCCACCCCTTTATTGACTGACCTCGGCTCAGTCAGGCCAGTTCCTGAAGGTCAGTGTGTGGAGGGGAGGCTGTTCTTTCCCAGAAAGGCCTTCCCCAGGCCTGGTGCTCTGGCCTCTGGAGGACTTCCTGGAGAAGTCCCTTCTTTGGCATCCCAGTCAGTGTATGGGAAGCCCTTACTGCATGACCTGGCACGGGGCAGGGGCTCAACAGTCACTACTGCCTTCCTTGCCGCTGCCATTTCCTCCTCTGTAAGCAGGTGATTGTGTGTCGAGTCTGAGCACAGAGATAAGCACACAGCAGGTGCTTAATAACTAGCAGCTGCAGGCTGGGCGTGGTGGCTCACGTCTGTAATCCCAGCACTTTGGGAGGCCGAGGTGGGCGGATCATCTGAGGTCAGGAGTTCGAGACCAGCCTGGCCAACATGGTGAAACCCCATCTCTACTAAAAATACAAAAATTAGCCAGGCGTGGTGGTGGGTGCCTGTAATCCCAGCTACTCGGGAGGCTGAGGCAGGAGAATCACTTGAATCCAGGAGGTAGAGGTTGCAGTGAGCCGAGATTGTGCCACTGCAATCCAACCTGGGTGACACAGCGAGACTCCATCTGAAAAATAAATAAATAAACACATAACCAGCAGCTGTAAATGTGGCTGTTGTTCTTCACCTCCACACTCAGTGCCACTCCGCTCCCTTCCTCCGTGGTGTGAGGGGCCTCACTAGCTGTCTTCTAGGAGGAGCATGGCTGTGAGATTCCAGCTCCATCCTTGGCCACAGCTCCTAGAGACATCTCAGAGACCAGGATCTGGAAGGCTCCCACACCCCATTTGACAGGGGAGAAACTGTCAGCTCCAGGTCCCCTTGCACATCAGGGCCAGAGCTGAGTTAGGCTCTCAGTCTCCAGGCCACTGGGCCAGAGCTCACAGGCTGGCAAAGGGTTAGAACTGTTACTGGTGGCTAGGTGTGGTGGCTCACACGTGTAATCTGAGCACTTTGGGAGGCTGAGGCTGGCAGATCACGAGGTCAGGAGATCGAGACCATCCTGGTGAAACCCCGTGTCTACTAAAACTACAAAAAATTAGCCAGGTGTGGTGGTGGGGGCCTGTAGTTCCAGCTACTCAGGAGGCTGAGGCAGGAGAATGGCGTGAACCCGGGAGGCGGAGCTTGCAGTGAGTCGAGATCTCGCCACTGCACTCCAGC